AACCCTCAACTATAATTTTACGACCTCAACGAGCAGCTCATCGGTAAACATTAAGATATAAGCGAGCTATCTTAATGCGCTTCAATTTACATACACCCACCCCTCCCCCCACGACCTTCTTAAACGCTACTACTCCGACCCCTCCGCGCCCTTGTCTTTACAGCGGTTAGAGAACGATACGGTGTTAATTTCGCGGCCTAAACTACCCTCAAAAGCCAAATAATCGCCACAAATTCTCGCTGGTATTGCCCCCCAAAAAAAATAGCCATTGACTCGGCGCGCCATCATGGAGAAACAATACCAGGGCTTGTCGGAGAATACTGGAGCCGCCATCCCGGTGATTATTTACCAGAAAAATGTATGCCCTGCGCGACGGCAACACCGCCACTACCAGAAGGTTGATTTCCTGAGAGACTTAAAGAATATTTCACAGTCACAAATGTTTTCCTGTCTTACCCCCCCACCCCCACCCCCCTCTCGCTTCGACGGCTCCAGGATGAAGATTAAGTACGTGGAGGAGGAAGAATAGACGGAGAGAATTACACTTCCTCTTAATCTTTGTTAATTGTTTGTTTATTTTCTTTAGTCTGTGGTAGAACGAATGGCGGGAGAGACGATGTGGGGGGGAGGGGGAAGAAACAAGCCAGGGATAATTTCTTCGGCAGGAGGTAAAGTGAGGAATAATTTGGCCAGACCGAAGAGAGACAGGGGGCACGCGAGAGAGATATATGACTGCCTCTGTCTCTCTGTTTGTTATTCTTCTCAGAGATGGAGAGGAGAGATGAAAGAAAGATTAATAAAGGAGGAGGTAGTGGGTTGTGTAAAAACGTGTGGATACAAGTTTACGTGTGATGTAGTTGTTGAAGTCTTGTTCATCACGGAATTAAGAAGACAGTTTACATGAAATATAGGAGAGAAGAATTAATAAAGAATATTGAAGTAGACGAAAACCAATAGCTAGAAAGTCAGTGAATTATGTAAAATACAGTAAATAAACAGTTAGATATTTAGATATTTATTCAGAAAAAAATCGTCGGATCACGTGAAGATTAGACAGCCCAGCTTATTTCACCTGAAGAATAACGTTACCTGGTACTAGGGAGTGGTCATGTTAAGTTAGCGTTAGGGAGGTTAATCTTCAGGTGATATAAGGTGATGTTCCTAATCTCTAGGTGATATAAGGTGATGTTCCTAATCTCTAGGTGACATAAGGTGATGTTCCTAATCTCTAGGTGACATAAGGTGATGTTCCTAATCTCTAGGTGATATAAGGTGATGTTCCTAATCTTCAGGTGATATAAGGTGATGTTCCTAATCTTCAGGCACGTATACACTAACAATCCTAATCATCAGGTGATCAACGCTGGGGTGGCTATTCGTCAGGTGATCTGAACATCATAAATAAATAACAGAACAAAATAATAATTACTTAATACAATGAAGTTATACATCACCACCCGTCCTCCCACACTAAGACTCATTAATACAGTAATATACAACACATCTTAATTCATTGGCAGATTTGATGACGGTATAGAGCACGTGTAAACAAGTCCTGCTGTTATGATAATTGTTTCTTTTGCACTCGTAGCTCCGGCCGCCTCTTGCAGGAAATCTTCAAACTCCTCATCGTCGTCACCAAATTCTATAATAACAAGTTCATCCATAACTAGAGGCAAATAAGGGGTTGAATTGAATCTTCTTCATTCTTGTTCGCGCCACTTCTTCAACGACCTGTACGAACAGTACAATATGTTTTCCCGCGTAGATCTTAGTCTGGCAGCGCGATAAACGCATTTTGTTAGGTTCATTCCTCATTAAGATCAATTACATTTAACTAGAAGAATGAAACAAAAGTAGATATATATTCAGTTAATCGCCATACATATTAGCATTAGTTCAGCGTATACTTGGACAAAACAAAACAAGGGTCGATTCAACCAAAGTAGCGTCGAAAGTCGAATTGAAACAGAAGGGACCACCACCATACTTTGCAAAAGAACCGTTGGGCGGACTCCTGCAGGGCTACTCATCTTTTTCTTATTATTATAAAATAATATACGATAATGAAGGACATGTTTGGAATCACATGAAAGTTAGGCACCCCAGCTTATATCACATTAGAATTAAGCACCCGAAATCTTATCTAACCTAAACAAAATTTAACCTACTTTTCTCCCAGAAAGCTAACGGTGTTTAATTAATCTTCCGGCGAAATAAGATGCGAGCCTAAGCTTCACGTAATCCCATGCTAGACTATTGTCAGCAGTGTATTAAACAACAGGAAAGTAAAAATGAAAGAAGTATCTGTCTATCGTTCTAACCTAACCAGACGTAACCCAGGTTAGCTTAAGTTTGAAGGTTTAGCTAGACTTTAACGAGAATTTTTTACCAAATAATTACTCTCAATATTCTCAGTCGTCATTGTGTTACCAACTACTGAGTTATAACATTGACTTGTGTTGTGTCCGCTGTACAACCACCCACCTGAGAGGTCATTAGGCCAAGTGTTTGTTCGGCTGCCTGACTATCTTTGGGAACCACTTTCACATTTTACTCCGATCTGTCTTCATGGAGAACATTTTTCATTAATACAACAAAATTCATTTGAACACTGATCATGGCAGCAACGTATTGTGAAATACTAAAGACACACGAGAAAGATTTTAGTTCATAATCTATAAAATAATTGAATTACTGGGCCGCGCTGAGTACTTGCCGTCACTGTGATTGGCCATCAGGTTGACCAGTTACCAGTAATAGTTTTAATCTCTGGCGTATTGAAGTCCACTTTATGATTCTCACTTTTTACTTTCCTGCAACACGTTGACTTGACGACGCTGGGGACACCGCTAATGAAAACACGAGCCCTGACCACCCCGCGCCCACCCCCACACATGCATCTTTCTTGTGTGCGTGTGTCTGTGTATTAATGTGCGTGGAGATGTAAGTCTGTGTAGGTGTTGTGTGTGTATGTGCCTGTGTTGGTGTACGTATGTGTGTATACTGTATATTTGTGTATGTGTGCTTGTCTTTCTGTGTGTATTGTTGGCGTCTGTTCTTCTATTCTGCCCCGTTAACCACTTCCTCCTGGAGGTGGTGTGAGGACTTACCGTTAACCACTTCCTCCTGGAGATAGTGCTGCTCTTTTCATAATTATATAACGCGACCACGTCTTCATTCCTCCAGCCTCCACTTCACAACGACGTCATACTGTTCTTTTAGGCATTCGGGTGTCGTGACGTCATACTGTTCTTTTAGGCATTCGGGCGTCGTGACGTCATACTGTGTTCTTTTAGGCATTCGGGCGTCGTGACGTCATACTGTGTTCTTTTAGGCATTCGGGTGTCGTGACGTCATATTGTGTTCTTTTAGGCATTCGGGCGTCGTGACTTCATCATGGTCTCAGATAGGGTATGATTGAGAGTATTTTATATTAGCTTCTAATAAACTATGACAAAATAAACATTTAGCCAAATAGCTCGAACCTGACTGTTCACACTACATCATTTAGTGTTCATCAATCTTTGACTTTCTACCCAACATAATAAGTTTTTGGCTCAGAACTTATTAACCGAAAATATAAATTACTACCAGTACTAGAACAATGCTTCTCAACAGAACCATTTAATATTTCTTGTGTGGTTCATATCCCCCCTCCGAATAAGTCTGTCAAGGAAGCACTGTGATGCCTATACACGTATACTGAAGCACTCTTACGGCGCTACATTACAGTACGTGTCTGTGTGTGCAGCTATTGGAAAATTCTGGAACCTCCCCTGATATACTCGTATTTCAGTAACTTTGTATCAATTTCTATGGTAAATCTTTAATAGTTTCGTCAATATATTATCTATAAATATATTGTAATTAAGTATACGGTGTATTTTTTAAAGAATAATTGCAGCATGTAAATACGACAACTTTTTTCAAGCCTACAGAAGAATAAAATAAATCACTGTAATCAGGCCTGTAGTAAGTACGACCTCGTTAATCACAACGGCCTTCTATATGTTGTACCTCCGCAAAGATGAACATCGGGATACTGCTCTGTATGGAATATTATGAGACTATGAAAGTTACCCATAAATACGCAGGTTTTCTTTATTTGTATTTAGGGATAACTAAAGTAAAAACATATATATTTACAGTAATTCTTACATCACGGTTTCAAGAAAATTATGATAAGTATAATTGTATACAAAAGAAAATAAATTTAAATATTCATGTCCCAGTAATGAGTTTGGTGAGGCTAAAACTGGTAAAGCTCTTCAGGAGTGAGGTACCTCCCAGTCTGGGGTAGGCCACCAGACTGATTGCCTGCACTCCAGCACCATAGTTACTCAGAGAGATTAGAACGCCTGCAGCTTATACTATAGACGGGCAAGGGGGGATCTAATTGAAGTTTATAAACATCTTAGAGGGCACTCAATCGAGTGTCCATACCTGGAACTGGCGGACGCCCACCCCACTAGAGGTCATAGGTAAAGGATGAAGAAACCACAAGTCCATAAAATTGTCGGGCCAACTTTTCGAAGTGGGAATTGTGAACTCTCGGAACAACCTTCTAGACTCATAGATTGTAGTTTAACTTAGAGTAACTGACATTGAAAAGTAAATTCTTGTAAAAGAATTAACATTATACTTTTCTAAAATTCTGTATGTGGTTTACCAATTGTCTGACTTTTCAAGTAATCCATTTGGCTTAATATACAGTACTGTAGTCTTGTACAGACTGGTCACCTCTTGTTGTTGAGGTTATTATCTCCAGATATATCTTCTTGTGAGCTTACATACAAACACACGCACAACCTATAATATTTTTATATCTCTAGTTGTTATCCCAATCTTATTCTTTTACAACAAATTTTGACACTTGGACTAAGTTTGTGGATTTTATTGATGAAGTCTGTGAACTGGCAGCCTGTTGTTTCATACTCTATGTGTTCTTTAAATTGTTCTAACTTTCCTGTGCTAATGACTCCTCTGCCCACCACCAGGTGCTGCGGACTGCAAATGTCGTGGGGAAGATGGCAACTGTCAGTGTAAGGATCCATATAGCTGTTAAAGTGCCTCCTCTCTCAAGATCTTTCTCTCCTGAAGCCTGCTACTGAAGATGCTCACTTCTGATGCTGCTCTCAGCCAAGGATTCCTGCAATTTGGGCAACACAGATCAACAGTCCTTGTCATACAACATTGTTTTCATGAGTGTTGTGGTGCAGCCAAGAAGAACCATCTACATAGTACATGTACTTGGCTCTTGCCTGGTTACTTTATTATTTGTCCAGTTAATATGGAAACAAAACGAAATATAGAAATTTCATGTATTATTTCGAAAGCAGTAAATATTGGAACTAGGGTATTTCAAAGCCTCTTTGAATAATGAATTATGTAATCTAGATGTATTGTTTCTTGAATAAAGAGAAAACCGAGTAAATTTTAATTGTAGTCCTGCATTTATTTTGTGTCCCTGAGTTCCCACATTTCAGGTTTGTAAGTTATCTTAAAAATATGTAAAGGGCAAAAACTTTGTGGAAATGTGTCTCACTTATTATTTTTTTTAAACACATACAGGTATTTGAAATTGATAAATACACTAGTGACCAGCAGACGAATTACCATGAAACGGCAGCACTGCTGCCAACACGGTTTTATGCAGGGACCTCCTGCTTGACACAATTATTCAAGGTACTGGATGTTTGGACTCAAATTCTGGAACAGGGTGGCAACATCGACAGTATATACCTAGATTTTGCCAAGGGTTTTGACAGCATGCTCCATGAAAGGCTGAGAATTAAACTGTAAGAGTTTGGGATTCGGGGAAGTGTCCTAGCGTGAATCGGAGACTTTCTTCATGACCACAACCAGTGTGTGGTGATTAATGGCATGAAATCATCATGTGTACCCGTGACAAGTGGGGTACAACAGGGCAGTGTATTGGGCCCGCTGTTGTTTGTTTCTTTCTTTCATAATGGCATGCCTGAAGCTGTACACTCCTCCATACAATTGTTTGCGGATGATGCCAAGTTATTCAGGGAAATTAAAAACCAAACAGACTGTGAAGAGCTACAGAAAGATCTGTCAGCTTCAAGAGTGGTCGAAGTAATGGCTGCTAAGATTCAATGTCACTAAGTTTAAGAAGATGCACATGTAGGTCCCAACAGTAATGAGACATATCACTTGTCCCAAAGGGATGAAGAAACTATATTAATAGAGACCAAATGTGAGAAGTACCTTGGTGTGTACGTTGACAACAAACTGAAGTTCTTAGGCCGTTGTGAGAGGGTGAATCAAGCTGCTAAACTAGTTGGTCTTATAAGAAGGTTGTTCAGATACCTAGCCAGTCCGTCCCTTGTCACGATCTTCAAGAGTAAGGCGCTTCCCCATCTGGAGGACTGTCACCCCGCCTGGTCCCTGAGATATGCTAGAGACTAACTTATACAGGGGTACTGTATTATAGATGGGTAGGAGGTGACCTAATTGAAGTTTATATGCATCTCAGAGGGCATTACTCAGTCGAATGGCCATGCCTGGAACTGCCCCCCCCCCCAAAAAAAAAAAATAAAAATAAATAAATAAATTCTCTGAAATCTGACCAATATCATGGGCATTTTGAAGTCATGTGCACTTGATATTAGGAGATATTCTGAGGTCAATAGCCATTACTTTTTACTACACAAAAATGCCTGAGTACAATACAGGTACAGTACTGCATTAAAGAAAAAGTATTGGAATTTTCTGATGAAAAGTGGGGGTCTGAACCCCCCCTGAGTTCTGTTATTATTTATAATGGTTACTTTACATATTAAATTCTATTCACACTATTTATACTTAAGTCTAGGGTACTGAGCGGTTAGGCAGTAAGTAGACTGTCAGAAACCACTCATAAAAGTACTGAGAGTGAAAGCTGATTGTCAGCCACTTGACAACTGTCGGAACTGGCAAAAATGACCAACAAGACCACAAACCCAACATTAACATTTCCAACCTTTAAAATGTACACAGTATATAATACGTACACAGTATGTATATATTACATATAGTTAATATTAATAAAATAATAAATAAATAAATTAATAAAATTTCTAGTTTCTGTAAAATTGAGACACACACAAACTTACCCTTCTCTTCACTGGATTTAGCACTCACTTTAAGCATAGTGACAAAGATATTGTACAGTAAAGCCCCGATAACTCAACATTTGATAACTCGGAATTTCATATAACTCGACATGGATATGGTCTCAGAATGTATAAGTATAACTTGGGAAATGCCGAGATATATAAAATTATCTGGGAAAATCTCGGCATATCTGGTCACCTGCAACACCTACCATGCCTCTGTGTCACCGACTATTATGATTCATTTTTTGCCTGCAGAGCTGGTAAGTGTTACTTTTTTACATTTAGTAATTACATGTACACATATATGGGTCAATAATTTATTGCTGTATTTTTGTAAGAGGGGAGGAAGTGCCTTGATAAGTTGGAATTTGGGATAAATCGGCAAGGCCAGAGCCCCACATGTGCCGAGTTATCGAGGGTTTACTGTGCATGCACACAAACTGGGAGAATACTAAAAAACATGGGAGACCACAGCAATGTGTGGCAGGAAACTGACTGATTATGCCAAAACAATGATGGGAGCCCACGACGACATTATCAGAAACTCCTTTCGAGCTAGATGGAGAAGCAAGTATTGGGACAAATTCATTCTGCTAGAAGGAATTTCATTACAAGGAATGATTACTGTACTGAATCATTGGATAGAAAGAGATACACCATTTTACAAAAAAAATACAGTTTAATATGTTCGGTTAATAACACCAAGTGAAGTAAACTTTTAACCAAGTCTGAAATATTGGTATTTACAAAAATATTCATTACATACCTGTAATACTGTACAATATACAGTACTTTATATATACAAATTGGTATCAATACACAAACTACACCATTGTCAAATTTTAAGGAAATGTTGAATTTTAATATTCTTGCTCTTACTTGCTCTTAAGTACAGTACACACATTCATAAATTACACACCAGGACAACTGAATGACAATGACGAGCTCACAAATGCAGCAGTGTGTCTCCTACACGATCCTCATCTTGTTATTCATAATACTTTATTAACAACAGTGAACTCAAAAGACTTATATAGACGATCATTCATGACTTGGGAGGAGTCATGGATTCCTGTCAGTCACCAGTATGAGGAGGGTCAGGAGATAAATAATGCCACTAAAACACCGTACGTGTCAAAGAGCAACACAATCAACTGAAGAAATTCTATCTAACAGTTTCTGGTGTTCCATTTCAACTTGAAAAGTGATTATAACAATGGCAGATTTTCTCATAGTTTTTCCCTATTTGTTCTTCTCAGCTGATACAGCTCATAGTTTGTTAAAAACATTATTTGCTCTTCACTTTGGCCTGAACATTTATTACTCTCTTGGTTGGGTCGTGTTTGTAAGTGCGTACGAGAGGTCCCATACCTGCCTTGGAGAACCTCATCTCATCATACTTCTGACGATCAGCAATTTCATTTGAAATCTTCATGTTCCTCCAAGCTGTAAAAAAAATAAATGTAAGAAAATATGAAAACAAACCAAGAGTTCTTTAGAAATACAGTACAGCATGGTAAATGTGATTAAAGTCGCATAAGGATATACCGTGATGGTCAAAAGTAATCATCCACCCCTCCTACTACCATACCCATGCGCTCAAGGCCTTTTTACACAACAGGTCACAGGAGGGTGGAAGAGGTATTGGTGGGGGGAGAGCTAGGGGTGGCAGACTAAGGTAAGGTAGGAGGGCACAAGTCAAGGGCCACATATGTAGTGAGAGTGTATGTGGTCTTAGAATAAGCCTTATCACCTGAAGGTGTTAAGATTGATGGATGTAGTTTAACGTTGATGGCCTTAATGACTCTGGCATTTGATAATCCAAAGCCTCAAACAACCAACCAACCAACCAGGAGGGCAGGTATCCGGGAAGGTGTCTTATGGACTTAACTTTCCCTTAGTTACATCCGTATATGCCTTTACTTGGGATTCTGGGAAAGAATGCGAGTGAACTTTAGGCAGGAAATGTGTCATTAGAGTTGATAAGGTATGGCTTTGTGTTCGGCCATTACTTGATCAGTTCCACCTCTCGCCACTAACATTCTCGAGAAAGATAAAAAAAAAAAAAAAGAGGAAGAGAGAGAGAGAGAGAGAGCAGCATTATTAAGCCTGGCTTGCTTTACCACTCGACAAACCCTAGGGCTTTAAAGGAAAAAAACAAGAACCTTTTGCCAGTGTTTTGGCAGTCCAACAAAAAGGTATGGGTAACTGTGCAAGCATACCTGGACTGGTTTCATAAATGCTTTGTCCCAGAAGTGGAAAAATACTTTGCTTCCAAGAAGATGAAATTCAAATTGTTATTATTGATAGACCACCCAGAAAGTTTACAGTTTAGCCATCCAGGTGTCAAGGTGGTGGTCCTAACACCACTGCTCTTATTTAGCCTCTCGATCAGGGAGTAATGCACACCTTCAAGGCATATTACAGATGTCGCTCTTTTGGTCGTATCAATAGTGCCATGGATGAAGACCCTGAACTTGATGTTAGCAAGTATTGGAAGGAATAAAGCATTGCAGACTGCATTACCAACATTAGTGAGCATTCAATGAATTCAAACTAGAGACAGTGAAAGCTTGTTGGGGCACCTTATGGCCTGAGTGTGTTAACAACTTTCAGGGATTTCCATCCATCATAAAATGTGAATGACATTGTGAGTGTTGCACATCAGTTGGGTGGCGAGAGGTTTGAGGACATAGCTGCTGAAGACGTGGAAGAGCTGATTGATGGGCATGGAGAGGAACTGACTGAAAAGGATTTGTAAGAGTTGGTAAAAAGTGCCGAGGAAGATGAGGAGGAAGACATTGTGGAATTACAAGAAGGTTGGAGCTTGGAAAATTTTGGTGAACTATTTCGTCAGGTAAAGGTGGTAAATGATTTCATTGTTGACCACGACCCTTCCATGGAATGCAGCCTTAAGATGGTCCGAGGAATCAACCAGGTATTGTTTCCCTACCAGGAAATGTTCAAATACCTCAATGCAAAAAAGAAACAGCTACCAATCACCATGTTTATCAAAAAAGAACCAGCTACTACCGCTGCCATTCCACCCGCCACCTCACCATCAGCCTGCCGGCCACGCGCCACCCCCCAGACACGTGCCACCTCCCGGTCGTGTGCCACTCCACCACCTGTCTCTCCACCAACCACCACTGCTTCACCCTCTTCCACCAGTGATCCTGATGATTCACCTAAGCTTCAGTAACCAGATGTCTCCCCTATGTACAGTGCACCACTTCATCAAGCTCCAAACTTCCACAAACGAATGTAAGTACAGTATTGGTGACTTAAGTTTCTCACACACAGTATAGGTATACCTGTATATAAGTGCACTAAGGTATTATATAAGTGGCTACTCGCAGTTTTGCCAATTTGGGCCATTTCTTGAAACCCATCCCTCGCGTATGGCAAGGGTCTATTAAAATGAATAAATTAAAGCAAACGTGAACATGGCAACAATTAATCCTACCATCACCGACGGAAGAGATTAACCTTCTGATTAGGTTTCTCCTTTTATTTGGAAGTCAAATTATATATCATATTTTTCTATTATTTAATACTGTACGTTATATTATTTATGATGAAACATACACCATAAGAGGCTGATCATGCAAGAAAATAATAATGGCTATATAAAAACAGACTGCTGAATGAGGCAAGGCCAGTCCAACACTGCCCCCCCACCTCCAGTACATTTACTCCACTCACCATTAATTAATTTCCTATGTACATTATCTCTCCCTCTCTTTACTTGTCCTTCCAAATCATTTTACTCTTACTACAGTATTTCCTCCCCCCCCCCAATTCCTTCTTTAATTTCTGCCCTTTTCCTTCCAACCTTCCCAATGTCTTCTTGCTCTCCCTCCTCTCCTCTTGATTACCTGACCATCCTTTCCTCTCCAGTTTCCCTTACTTCTACCTTTCCACTTTCTATCCTATGTACCTCCATCTCCTTTCCCCCACACTGTAGTATGTAAACTCACATTCCTTGAAGCCTTCAATCATTCCTTTCTTTGGGGGAAGACTCTCCTTCTTGTGGGTCACCAGCTGGTCAATCTTGAAGTACTTCCTGATGGAGGGAATCTTGAGGAATCCCACTTGTATCAGTGAGAACAGGTTGGTTGAGACCCAGTAGCACAACACTGCCTACAAGGGAAAGCACTGTAGCAATAGAGATACTAGAAGCACATTAGATTATCAGAGATAACTAGTAAAAAATGCTAAACAGCTTCTAAAGATGCTTCCCATAACTGATGGTGTGGCAACCCCTCAAGCCTCACGTAAGAGGAGTTAGCTTAGTTTAGGGGGCTGTCAACCCAGTGCACACCACAAAAGAGTAACACACCACTATGCTTGCCTTGCGAGTTATAACAGTTGTATTCTGCTACAATAGACCTCTTCCACATCAAGTCCCAAATATCCAACTGATTTACCCCGATCACTACACAATCCAGCCCACTACAGTAATTCTACATATAAAAGTACTTACCGCAGGGAAGCTGAGTGTAAAGGGAAAGACTAGGATTGGAATTCCGCGCAGGACGTACTTCATTAAGTGCATGTTTTGTGCATTCAGTTTAGCGCCGTCCGTTCCCAGCTGATGTTGAATTAAGAGAAAAAATTCATGAATACCTTGGCCAAAAATTACTTAACTTTAGCAGAAAAGAAACTCAAAATGTTTACTATACCCAAAACAGAGTTCTGGCAGCAAATGAGGGAAATATATAAACAAAAACTGAGGGTGTAAAATGTGTAACATTCTAGACATCAGGAAGATTAAGCTTGAGAAGGATGAAGGAGGAAAGGAGGAGAGAGAGTAAAGGGTAAAACAAGAGGAAGGAAAAGAAAGGTGGATATATTTTCAATTTTCTGCAAGAAATTGGATACTAAGAAGTAGAACTTTTTTCAGACTCTTATGTTAACACATGTCATCATTCATGGGAACAACAGTTAAGGTAAAAGAAAAAGAGGATACAGGCATCTTTTTCATGTTATAACCAAACTTTTATTTTCAATCAACATTCATTTCCATATAAGAATTATAGAGAAAAGCATACGAATTCAAGTTATAATAAGATTTGTTAGCCAGAATCAACATGTGAAAATAATATCAATGTAGCTAGGAACTGCAGTGCTTCGGCAATGGAGAATCAACTCATTCACTGTACCTCTATTGTGGCCAACATGGTGATGGAGGTGATGATAGGCAACAAGTAGAGTGGGTCACAGACAGTCAGGTCTGTAAACCAAAATATACCTCCGTCCTTGAAGCTTTCCAAGGGCAAATTTGCCATTCCACGGAGACCCACGAACATGGAGATAAAAATGGGTGCCTGGAAAGAGTTTTCAAGTTAATATTGAGGAGATGACAAAGAAACTATTAGTGCGAGTGTTTTTTCACTCACTGCTATAACTCCTACCATCACCTCTTCCTTACTGGACACACTATTAGCTCCATTAAACAAGCACGCGCACGCACACACATAGGTCAGCTAGAATATATGTTACAGGATTGATTAAGTCTGGTTCATAAACTTTACCCAGAATTTGTTCTATAAACTAATCACTAATAAGTGGCTCTGGAGCTCAAATGGTACAGTCTCGTTCAAGATTCTTCGAACATTGCTGGAAACAGCTGGCAACTCAAGGCTGTTTGTTAACTATAATAAGTAGTAAAAATTATGATTGAATGTAAAAAGTTATCGGTGATTGGTTACTTAGTTTCCTGTTGTTTAACTATTGGTTGGGCTTTGTTGTTTCGTATTATATTATACTACGTACAATAGTAAACAAACGGCCTGGAGTTGCCAGCTGTCTCCAGCAGTGTTCGAAGAATCTTGAACGAGACTGTACCATTTGAGCTCCAGAGCCACTTATTAGTGATTAGTTTATAGAACAAATTCACCCCACAAGAAAATTATCACTGGTTTGATTCTCAATAGGAGTGAAAAACTGGATTATCTACCTGAATAATACTCCCTGTGCACTCAGCAATAAATAACTACACTACTGGATTTACTCATCATTGGTTGAACTATCAGCCAGCTGAGAGGATAGTATAACCCACAAGCAGGTGAATTTTAAGAATTAGATGACCCACAATACAGAGTATATCAGTCTCACCAATTTGCACTTTTACAAAAAAAATTAATATTCACTGATCAATATTTCATTCACTATATTAACTTTACCATCACCATTGTCAATGTACTTTCCCCACCTTCCTAAAAGACATGAAAAAAAAATATATAAAAATTTCTGGCAGAGCCAACAGCCAGACAGCTCTCATAATTCAAGGCCGTGTTAAAAAAAATTTCTGCTATGGAAATGAACTGCTGCAAACTAAACAGTTTCTTAAGGTTGGGAAAAATTTTAAACACTGTAGTTACATTGGTGCATTAGCATTACAGCATCTCCATGTTTGTGATCCAATGCAGTCAGTCTATTATACCAAATACAAACTCTTCACTATGAACATACTAGTGATGAATTAAGCTGATACCAAACATCTGGTGACATACTTGTGCCAGAGGGACGATAACATTCCTCAGTGGGCTTATTTCCTTCTCCTTCATAAACAACATCATCTCTTGACCATATCTTGCAGCTGCCAGAAGAAATGAAAAAGAATTAGTACTATCTATAAAACTTAGCCCTGTACTGCATATATTGAAATGAACCCCCACAGCTCAAAGAATATTGTATGTCACACAAACACCTGTCCCTTGATAGTGAAAGTTATTATGTTTTTTAACCACACTATTTTTTTACCAGAGTGCGGAGAAACCGAGAAACCCTAATAAAAACAAACAGATTCTTACCACCCCAGTATCACCTCCAACACCCCAGAACCACCTCCAACACCCCAGTATCACCTCCAACACCCCAGTACCACCTCCAACACCCCAGTATCACCTCTAACACCCCAGTACACAACACTCCAACACCCCAGTACCACCTCCAACACCCTAGTATCACCTCCAACACCCAGTATCGCCTCCAACACTGACACCACCTCCAACACTCAGTACACCTCAACACCCCAGTACCACTCCAACACCCCAGTACCTCCAACACCGAGTGCCACCTCCAACAGCAGTACACTTCCACACCCCAGTATCCTCAACACCCCAGTACCACCTCCACACCCCAGTACCACCTCCAACACCCCAGATGATCTCCAACACCCCAGCGTACCACCTCCAACACCCAGTACCACCTCCAACACCCCAGTACCACCTCAACACCCCAGTACCACCTCCAACACCCCAGTATCACCTCCAACACCCCAGTACCACCTCTCCTACACCCCTACTTACATAAACACCTAGTATCACTCCCTAACGCCCATTTATCATTCAATTACGTACCTTAGTGATAACACAAAGCATAATAAGTAGATGGGAGGTAAGGGCCACTGTCCCTCAGCTAACTTCACAGATAATGGCCACTGTCCCTACAGCTAACTTCCACAGATGATGGCCACTGTCCCCACAGCTAACTTCCACAGATGATGGACACTGTCCCCACAGCTAACTTCCACAGATGATGGACACTGTCCCCACAGCTAACTTCCACAGATGATGGACACTGTCCCTACAGCTATCATACTGTATGACTATTTTCCATAGGGAGATATGCACAATCATGTGTCTCCAAGTCATGACACTAAAACTACTAAGACTCAACCCCTTCACTATAGGGACGCTACTTTTAATGTTTTATTTGGCTAACGGCGGACAATTTTATTTAACACAAAGAGACCCCAGTACACAAGGGGTTAAGAGATAATCTCCACTAACCCCTTCACTACGGGGACGCTACTTTTAATGTTTGAATATCATTTGATTTGGCTAACACCAGACGATTTTATTCAGCACAGAATTCCATATGCAAAGGGTTAAGAGTACTGTAGTACCAAACCTTATGCTGGAAGGATCAAGGACTAAAGTGAATTAACATTAATAAGTAATTCTCTCCGGCTTGTCCATTTACAGTATATTAAACAACTGTACACTGAATCCTTACTGTAAGATAATTTTCCAATGGGTGAACCCAACTGAGACAATTCAGCAGCAAAGATTTTTCCATTAAACCCTCACTTTCCTCAGCACAAAAACATATGACACTTACCATTGAGTTGGTCACCACTGTTCCTGGCTTCTGTCATTTTCATCTGAAGGAACTGGAGTTGTGGCATGTTGTTGTTCATCTTGGCAGCGTTCCTCTGAGACATCAACACCAGTGGGAAGATCAACGTCAGAATGATGACCGTGGCTGTGGGGGAACTGAGATTAGCTAATACAGTACAGGACCTCATTATCCGAGGCCACAAAAGACCGTAAAATCACCACCTAAAGCAGGAAATTTCTGGCTATAAATAATGATATTAGTCTGAAAAGGACCATAAGACACTAAATGACACCCAAAAGGATTATTTTTATACCTTTTATCAATTATACTCGGGAATCTGAAGAACATGTGAGATGTGTATCACTTGTTCACCACTTTTCTTCTGACAAATAATGTCTAATTCACGTCCAGTATATAGCTGCTACATATCCTTTTAGGGACGGCACTTAGTTTAGCACTACGCTTTGAACTCATGGTTAAAACAATAGCAATAATATTTCAAGAATACACAAGAAAAACATTAGAAAACCGTGGCCGATTAGATACTGCTTGTGGTAGACAGAGACATCGTACTCAGTGTCAGCGATGTGTCTGTGTGTGTGTAATACCACGACATCACAATTTTTATAGTTTCATTACATGTAACAATGGCAACATGACATCTCACAAGCTGCATCATCCCCAGTTTTTCCTCTTCCCAATATTAATTATTGCATGTTCTTGTAGGCACATTTAGGTATCTGAACCATCATTGGCTCCAAGAAATTCAGATAAAGAAGTTGCACTGTATGGGGGATGAGCGTGGTGAGTGTTGGGGGATGCACGGAGGTATAACAGATATTTTTCCTTGTAATCCTCTTAGGTGCAGGAACTTTTTACGTATAGTTCATTAATAATTTGGCCTCGCACATTGATGACTAGCATCACAAGGACCACCTATAAAGTCCTCTAATTCACCACAAGATTAATAAATATGAATTAGCTTATCAGAATTTATGTGCTAATATTTCTTTAACTAAATGGATTTTTTAAATATGTAACATCAAACAATACTGTACACTTGAGTCAACCTATGTATGGGAGAAAGGCAAATAAGATGCAAAAGGGAGTGAGTTACTCGCTGTTTGCCATGGAGCAATTCACAATATTTAAACCATTAGTGAATGAGTTAGAAAGTAATAAAGATAAACAGAGATGGGAGAAGTATGTGTTACCTTGAATGGAGATAAGAGTGGGGGAAGTAAGGCGTCTCAGATGCGAAAGTGTGGACATGACAGAAAATGGAACACCATATGAAGTATAGTGTCAGCTGGCTAATGATGGTGGGCTGTGTGAAGTAACAGGTACCAGCACACACCACATGGAAACATTAGAGCCTTGTTGTGTAAGGAAGACACACAGCAGGACATCTGTTGTACTGTACTATCTAGAATGACTGAATGGCAATGCTAGGTTCAATTTTTACTGATAATGAGACCCATCATTCAACACCATTTCTCTGGATTAATGTGTTCTGTGATTCATGAATTACTGTAATTCTATCATCATTTGGGCTACTACCATGTAAGGCAGACATTGTTCTTACTTATAGCAATAGCCCCCCACCAGGGGAGGTCAGCAGTCACATGTAATTGTTCTAGACATTGCTGGATGATGCCAACTGGTCCCCAGCCACCCAGACCCAGACTTGCAAATGTGGGTTCACCAAGGGCATTAAGAGCTGGACCGACAGCTTCTGGGGGTACTGGAGGTGGAGGGATGTAAGCTATGGACTCTGAAAACAAATGTGATGTATTAATATGTTATTTTAACAAAGTAATTTAGTACTGTACAGTGTATATAAATACAATGATCTCGGTGTGGCTGCTCAAAATTTACTGAAAGGACTGTATTTTGTATTATGTATATGCAAGCTGAGGCTAAGAGCAGGTATGAGTTGGTATTTCTTACTAGTTGTCTTAAACCCTCTCCTGTAATTATCTACACTTGCCTTGTCTTCTTCTCCCCAATCATCTCATTATCCCATAGTCCATCCACACACACACAAATTTCCAAAGCCAATGTTTACTGATTCAAGCCAGTTTCTTCTGTCAACACCCAACCCATGTGCTAGTGAATATTTAAAAAGGAAGCACCATTTTTTATATACAATATACTGTTCAACAGAGAGAAGCTGATACATAAAAGTAAAAACATTAACCCATTGATCTACAGGCAGGAGCAAATACATAACTTTTGACACAAGGAGATCATACACATCACACTTATGGAAAAGGTAGTTGCAGGAAACAAATGACAGCCAAAGAAGGTAGTGTGTTCCTAGTGACTCCAGCCACCCCCAACCATAGGGAGTTATGGCCTGCAAGAGTGAAATGAAATACTGTAATTACAAAGATGTTGTCAACTAACCAACAGCCTGCGAAGCCAAGATGGATTCAGCACCAACATCTGGTACCATGTGAGGACCAACTGTGTCACTGGTATTAGAGACTATGTGGTCAGTGGAAGCCTCGAGGTCTGAGTGTGAGAGTGTGTGGCCACCAACAGCTGCAGCTGGGTCAATGATCTCTTCATCAAGTGAGGGTGATGCAGCATTCACAAAAAATATCTATAAAAAGAAAAAATCAAATGAATAACTGATAAACATCCTCACCCTGGTACAGGAGTGAGAAACAAATATTAAGAATCAGATGTAACCAAACATTAACATCATTAATTTGTTTTCCCATAAAAGAAATTGAGAATTATTCCTGGCATCCTATTTTCTAGCAGAGTCCAAGACCAGATGGCCCTCACTATACAGGGATCTTGTCTCATGCCTTCCCCTACAGTATAAGTCAGGGGTGGACTGTTAGCCCTTTTGGGTATAACAATCACTCCTCCTCTATGAGGGATGCCGGACTTACAGATGCATGCTAAAAATTAGCTGTAACCATAAACTAAGGCTCATGAAGTTTTACTTACCATATTTATCTAAATTACAAATCAATTTTAAGAAGTTAACTTCCAACAGTTTTCTAGTAATTTTCCTAAACATATGCCAGTTGTATTCACACATTGCAACTGACAAGCTTTAGCGTTTTCTGTTTTAAGAAATAGCCTACTAAATAGATGGAGTGTGAACAGTGGTGAGATATGTTTGTAAACCGTAAAGTGTTCTCATCAATCTTTGGGAGCCTCCACAATGTGCCCACTTGCTTCTCTGACATGTTGTACCAGTGTGATAACTTGATGAGGAGGAAACCCAATAACCAACCTGTGAAATATAAGTTTGTTAAATGTCTGGAAATTCAAACTTCATACAATATTTTTAATCACTTTAGATTAATCCCGGCTTATTTCACTGAAGATTAACCACCCTCGTGCTAAGCTAACCCACCAATGATAGCATTAGGCTGTTTAATCATATGGTGAAGTAAACTGGGGTAGTAATCTTCAATTGATCATGGTTTAAGGAGTTGTCATTCCCACTTATGCAAATTTACCATTTATTGTCCCATGCATCTTCCAGACAACTCCAACAAGAGTCGCTTGAAGAATACTTACACTGTACGCTGTCCTGTACGTCGTAATAGACTCACATATTCGACTAGTATTAGTGAATGTGACACACCTCCGCAGGCACCGAGCGCCGGGTGGTCTGCCTAGCGCTGCTGCCATGTTGTTGTGGCGGGGACTACGAGCGTAAGGCTATATAAGCCCAATGTTACTTGAACAAATTCTCAATTCAATGATTGCAAACTTTGGTAGTAAAAACTATATCCAAAGACATGAATTTATTTTAAAACAAATTTCTATCTTTTGATCGGTCGATGTTTAATAGTACCGTGAAAACAATCTGCTGGTTTTTTTACCATTGACATCTCAGGTCCTTACGGCCTTCGTGAAGACTATTATGTCACTATAAATATTTTTGTCATTTAAATGAGACAAATTAGACCTACTATACTATAAAATATTTATGGTAATTTTGATTACATAGAGTTGTTTCATGTTAATGTCGACTGAAAATTAAATGTGTTGGTAGTTCTGTACGTGGAACCTTTTTAACATCATCCTTGTTGCATAACACTGTATTCACCAAACACTCTCTGTACCTGAGGGTGGGGCGATGAATTTCAGAATGAACACTACGACCCCTGTTGTCTCAGTAAAGTTGTCAAAATCCTTCGTCTGTTGAGTCATATTTTCTCAACACAATTTTATATAGATACTGTAATTATTTGACTGACTGTACGACTGGACTGACGAGAGCTTCCCCACTATTTATTTTACAGCGTTATTACTGCGCTTCAACAACTAAAGTCTTTAATCGCGTAAAAATGTCAATAATTACACTAGTACATCAACAACAAAAGATTGTGAGCAACAGAACTGTCTGGAAACTGCTGTGAGGATCGCTGTCTGCTGCCAGTCCGGGCCACCTGCCCTACGCGCTACTCCACATCCCACGACCGTAAGGTTTATAACGCATGTCTGTTCTCCCCACTGGCGATGTGAGTGACCCACATCACAGCTGGAGAGCGACTATTGTGCGATTGTAGTGGATTTTCCCCACAAACGCTGAGTAGCCGACCCCACCAATTCCCCAGTGTATGCCTCGTGGTCTAGGTCAACCAGCGCCGCCATACATCACGGAGCGGAGGTCAACTACTAAGCCACGCCTACCCCTCGCTGTTTAAGACCTGACCTCGTGGTAACCTGTCTCTTTCTACCTACACCAACCAGCCAGCAACACCACCACCTCTCCGCCTGCCTGGCGGTCCTCGCCCTGCCGGCGAGCATGGCGACCCACAAGCTGTCCTCCTTCGAGCACCCTCACCAACCAGCTCTCTCTACATCACGCTTGTAACCATGCTGCCTTCCCAGCACCAAGCTGCATTGTACATCCAATACAACATGTGTACAGAGAGCACATTGTGAGTTTCCTTTCTCCATCCCATCCTGAGTGTGAACAAACTACTGCGTACCCCACACGATATTCCATACGTGGTTTGAGCTCTTTTGCCTACTCTCCTATTTTTCTTTTGTTTTTTAGTTCTGGCCTTAGGACCTGCACCCTAAAAAGTGTATTCGTCCCGAAGTCCCCCCAGCAACAGTTCACCTCCCTCCCAGGAGATTGTGAACACGGAATGGGGTCGGAACAAGCTCCCATCCCTCATCCTTCCCTAACAGGTTTGACGCACTTCCGCAAGAATGGACGGACGGATCTCTACCAACCTTCAACCACAACGTCGAGGACTGGGTTCATGTGGAAGCAGCCCTCATCGGCTCCAAGCTACTGACGAGCAAAAGTACGGCGCCCTGCTATGTGCCTTGCCCACGGAATTCGCCACGTAGGTCCTCACAGACCAATTCCAACCCTCCAGTTGACAACAAACGCCACCCGCGGATGCCTGAAGACGCTATCAACAGACCAGACCCAATCTCCTGCAAGACCTATCCTCTATCTCCTCGAACTCAACCCCGGACGTCTCTGAGAGGAGATGTGTAGGCTGAACTCCGCGCACAGACTCACTCCCCGACTCTATCCTGCGCCAGCTTCACGCACAAATGCTCCCCACGCAGGTACGCATCACCCTGTCCGCAGTAGATTACTCTACAACACCAGAACTCTACGCAACCTCGGCAGACAGAATATTCAACGATTACGCTGCTGCGAGACTGGCCACATACAGTACGATACACCACTGATCGGCTCGTTAGCCACTTGGGCGGTCGGTCACGTCTCTGACACGCACCGATTGGCAAGTACTGGGCATGAACCAGCTCCACATGTATCTGAACCTGCTCTATTGCTGGTCAAGCCTGGGTACTCTGGTCTTGAAAGAGTTCACATTCGGTGCCGTTGCAGCGGACCAGTAGCCGAGACGATAACTGCGCATGCACGTTGATGACATCACAGCATACCAGGCAAACTAGTCTTTGATACCAGGAGTTGCCGCCCACTAGGTAACTTCTGGTCCGAGTATAGGTGGACCAGAAGTTCCCCATACCGCCTGACTACAAAAACATGGTTTTTCAACTCTTTGGGAAGTTCTTAATTTTTGGGCCCCAAATCACATCTAGAATAATTTAAGCATTAAGTCAGTCACTTTATTCAACAGTTGTAGTCTAGTGGGTCAGATTATTCAGTAGCTGCAGTGAGTCAGACTGCAGTGGATTAATCAGAAAAAGTCTTTACTTACTGTTAATCTGATTTTATTTTTAATTTAGTAAAAAAAAAAATATATATATATATATATATATATATATATATATATATATATATATATATATATATATATATATATATATATATATATATATATATATATATATATATATATATATATATATATATATATATATATATATATATATATATATATATATATATAACTTCAGCAATGGACTTGTTACGTGGAAAGCGTAGTTTCATAACGAAGAGAAGAACCTGGGAAAACGTTAGTGATTAAAGAAACTCGACTTACTCAAGATGTTTGTGTTTTCCCTGGTTCTCCTCTTCGTTATATATATATATATATATATATATATATATATATATATATATATATATATATATATATATATATATATATATATATATATATATATATATATATATATATATATATATATATATATATATATATATATATATATATATATACAGACCTCGACTTACACCGTCGGGACTTACAACCGCCAGAGATTTTTATTAAAAAATTTTTTTTTCAAACATGCATTTTCTATACCAAACGTTTCCAGTTAATGTAGTTCCATGTAAATTAGAAAACTATGGATCCTATGCATTCAGCTGACTACAATAAAGGTAAGTGCTCAATTACACTGTAACCATTCCTTATTATTTATTACTTTCACTGTACTGTATCCATTCCTCATTATTTCATTACTTTTACTGTACTGTATTTCATTGTAGATTATTTATTTAAATTTTTTTTTTTTTTTATCTATGTCGGACTTACGACCTGGATTTGTCCCTAACCCCGTGTAAGTCGGGTCTATCTTTGTATATATATATATATATATATATATATATATATATATATATATATATATATTTATATATATATATATATATATATATATATATATATATATATATATATATATATATATATATATATATATATATATATAATACTTGCTTTGCATATTATCTTTACTATAATTACACAAAATACAAAACTTTATATCACACTTCCATAAAAATAGATTTTAGCTTTTATAAAACATTTACCTTACATTGTAATGTTGAAAAACAAGCCAAACAAATCCACATATAAAGTCATTCAATAAAAACTAATGAGTATTATACACCGAGAGCTCTCACATTGTTGGTTATTTCTGATACCTAGTCTTCCTCCAGGTATTTCAAGAACACTAAGGCATTTATCATGGTGTCTGGATCACAACCACTGGAGAGTTTTACTGCTTCTAGAGATGGAAAGGCCAGTTTCAGTCTTCCTACAGCTGGTGTTGATGGTTTCTTGTTTTTTTTTTTATTAATTATTTTGACAAATACACAATGAAGATTAATTTTGGCTAGAAGTAAATCTCAAATTATTAGATATAGTATATTTTAATTTTCCCTGGTACGGTGGGAACCCTGTATGGCATTTGAAATGGTGACACTTCTTCACTACTCCAGTTAACAAATATTGTTCTATTCTAATACTAAGTTCTTTCCTACTCTTGATATCACAACTCAAAGAAGATCACAGCTTACAACATCAAGAATCTCTATCACAATTTACTTATGATTACTAGTAAATTAACTTAAAATATGAGTGATTGCACTCTAGTATTCTAAGAATTTGAGTTCTGTACATTAGTGAACACATTAGTTTGTAATATAATGTCTTAAAAGAAACCGGGGTATTTTACAACACTTTGTCAGCAGCTTGACACCAAGTGATGGGATGTGAGGCAGTGAATGAACCACTAGTCTATGGGCAAAACGTCCAAGTACAGAAAGGCATTTTGAACATATTTCTTTGCTAACTTTTTGCAAATGAAATAGCTTTAAAAGTTGCTCTGCCTTGTCTGATTGAAAAGACATTGCTGGTAATAAATGGGAAGTTTAGTGGTGCCCGAGACTGTTTTAGGATTACTGTACGTATAGTAAATATTTTGAAGTGCTGTAATTTAAATCTGAAACATGAAGAGATTTTGGCTGCATTAAGGTGGTGCTCTCTTGAAGGACCAGGGGAAGAAAGGAGGTGCTGCTACCATTGAAGATCAGAGGAAGGAAGGAGGTACTGCCATCATTGAAGACTAGGGGAAGGAGGTGCTGCTGATATCACTCGGGACCAGAGGAAGGAAGGAGGTGCTGCTATCATTGAAGACCAGGGTAAGGCAGAGACTGAGATGGCTGACTGAAATTTAAAGTTTTGTCTGGAAGGACTGGTGATGGCCCATAAAATGATTAGGTGAAAGATGATGGCTACCAGTCCTGAGACTTGAGGGTGGTGCCATGACTGACTGAATTATGATACAATTAGGAAATTTGAGACAATTGATTGTACCTTGGTGTTTTATGAATTATAAAGCTGCTTGGATTTTAAGTGTTACATGAACTGGAGATGAGAGTGAGAGGTGATGAGACACTTTTGAAGTGATTTTACCCCATCACAAGTGAAATTCCTGTATATTTATACATGGAACCTTAACTATGAAAAATAATGATCACTCTCAAAGTAACCTGATAAGAAATTATACACAACAGTGTATTACAATATTGTACCTGATTTTTGTTTGCCAACTTCAGTAATTACATCATTCAAGTTGAACATTACAGCTCTGTTTCACTACAGTAAACACCACTACTATCTATAAAGGAAGCACATCAACACACTCATACAACATCCATTGCAACACATTCTCTCATTCTGAATTACTGTATAGTAAAATTATCAAGTGAAGTATTGTACACCAGTGTATGTTGCTGATGGCCAAATAATACCTAACCCACCCTTAGTAGCATCACTAAGGTACATTAGCTTATGATGGGTAGGTTAAGTTGTTGAAAGCTAATTTGATGTGATACTGAAACATATTTCCTGAAAGTTAGCATCAGCAGTCAGTTGAAATCTATTGATTTTTTTTTTTTGCATTCTCACAAGTTCAATGAGGCTTTTTGCCCAGTATAATTCAGCAATGTTGAAGCTTCCTCCTGACACTGTTGATATGACTTGTGTATAATACTCATCATCTCGCATATAATCATAATGAATATCACTTCAGGTGCAATTGCATTACTGTACTCGTCTCGAGTATAATCATAAAACATATCACTCATCTCATATAAAAGCATTATGCATATCACTCATCTCATATAAAAGCATTATGCATATCATTCACCTCACTTATATGACTATTAGACATATCAAGTATAATTATGTCTCACTTTACTAATAACTGTGACATAGTATAACTAATCTCTCGTATCATCATAATACTGCATTGTATATATCACCCACGAGGTGCGATTATGACCACTGCAGCCATCCAATTCCTTCTAAATCCTTCAACAAGACATTTCACAGGTGGTAGATCAGTAAGGTTAAGTTCTCATAGCTCCCTTCATCACTAATGTATCAGGTTACATCAAAACATTGCACATACAGTACTGTGTAGATAATGGCTGCAGTCACCATAGTTGCTAGTCACCACAGTCATACTAAACACTGGCACAAACATGGATGGAGGTAGAGAATTGTCTAAATGTTCTACGGGCTACCTACTGTTTATGGGGAGTGTTTCTATAACAAAAATAAATAAAATACCTACTGTAGATAAACTGCACATTTGTATGTTCATTTGTCTAATACAGTATATTAAAGATATAGAAATATTTTATAGACTAATTAAATTTAACCCGTTTTGTCATGTTAAAGTACAGTAATATGCATTTTACACATACCATAACTTTTTAAACTTTAGAAACAACACTTTTCCTGAATTTACTTTGCCAGTCTCTCATTTGCCATACAACTCCATCCTGTATTTGTCTATTCCTACACTACTCTGGCTGCTGGTAACACTGACTGATTGATCTGGCACCTACATCAACTTTTATTGTTCCTATTCATATGCTGTACTATATCACATAATATAAATTTTATAAACTTAATTTCACTAAATCCCTAAACTTTTATTTGTATTAATTGCAATGCTCAGTTGCTGCAATTTGGCCATATACTGAATGATTTTCAGTAGATAAGTCTTAGTTACAACCTCTTCAATCCTTAACTGGCAGCAAATGATTTCTCACCCCTTCTCCCACCCCAATTTGCACAAATATTGAACACAAAGGAACTGGAAACTTCCACAAATGATAGCTGCCATTTACGGTTCACCTAACAACCTAAAACCTTCCATCCATCCTTATTCTAAACAACTCCCTAGATTTTTCCTTCATGTCTACAAACTTCTCTTTTAATCTTTCATTCAAAATCTGACAACTTCATTCTATAACTTGCATTAAACACTTGTTCTTGACACTCATTGTTTCTTTATACTGTACAAGCATCAATACAACAGTGTAGAAATAATAGTCTATCCCTCTAAGGGAACTTACTACTGTACTCTAGGCTACTTATACAAAACTATTACATGTATGGAAGGTTTTTCTTAACAGGGTACAGTACCACAACAAACACTCACTACTGTAGTTTTATAACACACAATATGCATCACAACATCACAATATGCATCAGTTGGCACGTCACATATATATTAAGTTTCAAGTTAGTTTACTGAGATAAACCCTTGAGATTATGATACAGTTTAAAATTTATGTTTGCAGAATTATTGTACAGGTTGGACCTCACTAATCCGGGAAGCTTGGGACCAGACCGGTTCAGTATTGGCATCATTTCTAAAATAGTTAATGTCACATGCTTACATTTTGCTGCATTACAACCATTTCCACTGCCTGCTGGTCTCCTAGGAGACATATTACTATCCTCTCTACAAATAGCACAAAAGGATGAACAGTACAGTACAGTCACCACATGTGGTCATCCTTCCCTGAACTGATGTCAGATGAAAATAGAATAATTTAGTTTATCTTGCCTCACCAACACAGTTCATAAAGGCTACACATACTGTACACACTACTAATAAAAAAAATATTAAAATTATTTGTCTGAAGTGCACTGAAGTGCAATAACAAAAGTAAAATATCTTGGTATAAATCATGAGTAAGCTTTAAATGATTTTTTTTTTAGGTAAATTTGTGATTTAAGTTAAGATTACAGTAGTATTTGGTCTGATCAACGGGGTACTCAATGAAGCATGCGGGGTATTTCCCCAATATGTAATCGTCAGTTATGCGAATCAGGGGTTATTGGGATGTCGGTTTTCGGAGTATACTTAAACAGCATTTAATATTGGTCTCCTAGAACACATCAGAAAATTAAGCTATTAAATCACAATCCACATTCAGTTGAAATGGACATTAATCAGAGTCTTTGTACAAGAAAATATTACAAGATTTGCTTCACCTGCTTACCCCAACCAGCTTGTAATAAAATATATAAAATATTGGCCAGCTTAGGATATAAAGTTTACTGTAGAAGACTTGTGTCAACAAAGATTTCTTTTGAGGATCTGCTAATCTTCACTTTCTAACTCATTAATGAGAGTTGCAAAATCATAAACAAACCAGGTTGCTGTGTCCCTCACCGCTTCTCTCACAATGTTTCCACCAAACCCTGAAATTAAAAATAAATTACATACGGTACACAGTAATTTGCTAAGCTGTAATACATTTTTAGAGTATCTAATACAGAACAGTACTGAATTATAAAATGGCTTAAACAGGCCAAGGTGCAAATATTACAAGGGAAATTACAATGGGATGAGGGAAGAGATGAGTAGTATCAACTGGCCTGACTCATTAAGGTACAAGAACGCGGACACTACGCTGGATATCATAACTAGTAAATAAACCCATTTGATCGATAAATATATACCCAAGACCAAACCCAGTGCTTCTAGGAATACAAGGGGATCCCTACACATGAACCATGCGGTGGTCGACAAAATTAAGAAGAAAACCCAGAAATTCAAGACTTGGGTTGGGTCAAACGATGAGCAAGACAGGAGGATGTATGTAAGAGCCAGAAACCAAGCAAAGACAGAGTGTAGAAGGGCTGAAAAGGAGTTCCAGAGGCTGGTTGCAAGCGAGGTCAAGTCAAACCCAAAGGCGTTTTACTGCTATGCAAAGTCGAAATTGAAAACGCGAGTAGGAGTATCAGACCTGAGGCTTGTGGATGGTAGTTACGCAGATTCTGACCAGAATAAAGCTGAGGCATTGAACAGCTTCTTTTCCTCAGTGTTCACAAGAGAGGATGCAACTAACCTTCCTGCGTTTGAGGACAGACAGTTCGACACAGCACTGACCCACATTGTGTTCACAGAAGAGGGTATTAGAAATAAACTGTCCGGGCTAAAGGTCCATAAGAGTCCCGGCCCAGACATGGTGCATCCTAGAGTGCTAAGAGAGTTGTGCAACGAGCTTGCAGAGCCCCTGAAGATCCTGTTTTGTGAATGCCTGGATGAACAAATGGTCCCCAGTGAATGGAAAGTGGCTTATGCGAGTCCTATCCTCAAGATGGGCGATCGGCACTCCACGAACAACTATAGACCAGTGAGCCTGAACAGCATAATATGTAAGGTACTTGAGAGTATAATTATCAGAGATGCTGCAATGGAACATCTAATACGAAACAATCTTGTAAAGGATTGCCAACACGGTTTTATGCCGGGGCGCTCCTGCTTAACACAATTGCTCAAGGTATTGGATATTTTGACCCATATTCTGGAACGGGGTGGTAATATCGACAATATAAACCTAGATTTTGCCAAGGCTTTCGACAGTGTACCCCATGAAAAGCTGAAAATCAAACTGGAAGGGTACGGAATTCGGGGAAATGTCCTTGCATGGATAGAAGACTTTCTACATGACCGCAAGTAGTGTGTGGTGATTAATGGCACGAAATCTTCATCCGTACCTGTCACAAGTGGGGTACCACAGGACAGTGTATTGGGCCCGCTGTTGTTTGTTTGTTTCATAAATGACATGCCTGACGTTGTACACTCCTCCATACAAATGTTTGCCGATGACGCCAAGTTATTTTGGGAAATTAAGAACCAAGCTGACTGTGAAGAGCTGCAGAAGGACCTCTGTGGGCTCCAGGAATAGTCGAAGGAATGGCTGCTAAGATTCAATGTTACGAAGTGTAAGAGGATGCACCCGGGGCGTACCAACGGTAAGGAGGCGTATCATATGTCCCAACGGGATGAAGAAACTGCACTAGTTGAGACTGAATGTGAGAAGGACCTAGGTGTGTATGTTGACAATGAGCTGAAGTTCTTGGGCCATTGCGAGAAGAAGGTAAACCAGGCAAATATATTATTGGGTCTTATAAGAAGGTCGTTCAGATATCTAGACGGTCCGTCCCTCGTAACGATCTTCAAGAGTAAAGTGCTTCCCCATCTGGAGTACTGTCACCCCGTCTGGTCCCCGAGATATGCTGGGGACTGTCAGTTGGTTGAAAATGTTCAAAGGAGGGCCACCAGACTGGTGCCTGCACTTCGGCACCTCGCTACCCTGAGAGATTGGACCGCCTGAACTTGCCTAGCTTATATTACAGACGGGCAAGGGGTGACCTAGTGGAGGTGTATAAGCATCTCAGGGGGCACTACTCAGTCGAGTGTCCTTACTTGGAGCTGGCGGACGCTCACCCCACAAGGGGTCACAGCTCAAAATTGAAGAAGCCGCAAGTCCAGAAAACTGCGAGGGCAAACTTTTTCGGAGTGAGGGCTGTAAACTCTTGGAACAATCTACCAGAGAGTGTTGTGACGGCACCGAGTGCAAGCTCTTTCAAGACAAGACTTGACCAACACTGGGGCGGGTTCAGGTACATTCAGGAGCCGGTGCATGCCCAGTATTTGCCAACAGTGCGTGACAGAGACGTGACCGATCACCCGGGCGGCTAGCGAGCCGATCTTTTGGTGAAGAGGATAAATGAAAAGGAAAAGTAATCAGAGACGTGACCGATCGTCCAAGCGGCTAACGAGCCGATCAGTGGTGAAGAGGATAAAAGAAAAAGTAAAAGTAGGTGTTTTGTTTCACCCACTATTTTTTTCACACAGGTCCAGACACGGTGTTGTTAGCTGATCATTCAAGTGAAGTTTGGCAAGTGTTGTGTGTCATGTAGCTGTCAGAGAGAACATTGAACATGACCTATTTTCATATAGTTAGTGACCTAGTTTTCAAAGGTAACCAGGTACCATTTGTGAATCATACATGTCAAACTTGATGACGATGCTGCATTTCCCACTGAATTATGACCTTACATGTAGAAGGATACCAAGTGTTTGTGATTTTTACTTTTATCCACTTCGCCACTGATGGCTCGTTAGCCGCTTGGGCAGTCGGTCACGTCTCAGTTATGTACTTTTGGCAAGTAATGGCTCCTAAATATATCAGAACCTGCTCCAGTGTTGGTCAAGTCTGGCCTTGAATGAGCCCACACTCAGAGCTGTCACAACACTCTGGCAGATTGTTCCAAGAGTTCACAATTCTCACTCCGAAAAAATTTGCCCTCACAGTTTTCTGGATTTATGGCTTCTTCAACTTTGAGCTGTGACCCCTTGTGGGGCGGATGTCTGGCCGCTCCTGGTATGTACATTTGACCGAGTAGTGCCCGCCCCCCCCGAGATGTTTATACACTTCGATTAGGTCATCCTTTGTCCGTCTGTAGTATAAGCTTGGCAGTTGAAGGCGTCCTCTCTCTAGTTAGCTGAGGTTCCGTAGTCATATGGCAGGGAGAATAATTCAATATACAGTACAATTGCAAATAACGTTAAAAATCCTACACCAATTTACAAATTCACATCACTAAGGCGATCTTGATGCTCGTACGTAATCACCATCTAATTGTCACCGCTCAACAATGAAAGCCCGAGTGCCAACACGCTTTGCTACAGAAACGCAACATGACACGACCCACACGATGACTACACACCATCAAGGGTAGGGCATAAGCTCTCCTTCACTTTAGGCATGTGAACTGACAAAAGGAATAACATTAAAGATGGTAGCCTCACAGTCTTGCCAAATAATGGAGTACCACAGGTAAATGGGAAATAAGTAAAGATAATGGACAGACACAGATAGAATACAATAGAGACAAATGGACAGTTAAAAAAAAGATTGTGAGTAAACACATTTCAGCACAAATCTGTACAAACGGAGATATTCTCTCGAGTTAAACCTCAATGTGGTATTGATGGTGCAGCGATAAGGTGTGTATCTCTTGCCCCATGTTTTGCATTTAATCCAGTAAGACAGATGTAACAAGGGTGTTAACCAGTGTGACTACCTAACATCACTGGCTTCCTCCAGGTACTCTGGTTTCCTCCTGTACTAACACTACCCAATAAAATTTATAAAAAAACAAACAGATCAACTGCCTGAACAACTAGTACGGTGAAAAGAGGTGGAATGATAAATAAAATGATGTTATAAATGTGGACAAAATATGAAGAAAGTTGAATTATGACCTACCAATAAAGGCATCAGCTGGTGGACAAGCTTCCATGTCTGTTGCTCCGTCACCAATCATGACGACGCTTGAGTAACCTTCTCTCTTCTTTAGCCATGAGATGACCTCGGCTTTACCCCCTGATCTGCTCGTCAGTTGAGTTTCATCAAAACCACCGTATTCACCTGTAGAATATTGCTAAATTATGGCAAAGGAGGAGATGCAACCATTACCTGACCTAATCCAACCTTTCCAAATCAAACCTAACCTAACCACCCCAGGTAGCATTAGTGCCTGTGGTGCTAATCTTCATGTGATCCAAAAGTATCTACACCAGTGCTATTCAACCTTTTTTTATGTTATCCACCTAGTGATGAAACTTACAATGCCATCCACCTCTAGTGATAACCATATTTTGCTAAAAGTGAGAGAAAGAAAAAAAAGTCGTTTCACTTGTATTTATTTACCATAGGTATAATTATGAATGTTTTGGTGAAATCTTGGAATCAGCCGACCTTCGAGTGCACCCCGCATAAGGGAATCCACATTCGAAATCGAGTTCCTTTTCTTTGATTTGATTAAAACTAAAGCTGAGAAGCCTTGCTCACACAGATATGATGTTGGCATCTGCACAAACATAGTTGTCACCTGCTTGGCCAACTCCTTGTATTCTGGAATATCCAACAATGTAACCCAAAAATCCATGGTGTGTGCTCATGTCTTGAAGGCTGCTTTTTTGCGTAATCTGTCCGAAGCTCCAATAGAGCTTCAGAATGGTTATCCCCATCATCAGCAAATGGTTGTATGTAATTCAGGTGTTCGCTCCCACTCTCTGGGAAATGCACGTTAAGGTTTTTCTGAATCAAAGTAAGGTGACTGACAACCAAACAGGACATAATTTTTATCCTCTTCGCCACTGATCGGCTCGTTAGCCGCTTGGGCGATCGGTCAAGTCTCTGATTACTTTTCCTTTTCATTTATCTTCTTCACCAAAAGATTGGCTCGCTAGCCGCCCGGGCGATCGGTCCCGTCTCTGTCACACACTGTTGGCAAATACTGGGCATGCACCGGCTCCTGAATGTACCTGAACCCGCTCCAGTGTTGGTCAAGTCTTGTCTTGAAAGAGCTCACACTCGGTGCCGTCACAACACTCTCTGGTAGATTGCTCCAAGAGTTTACATCCCTCACTCCGAAAACATCCCTCACTCCGAAAAAGTTTGCCCTCACAGTTTTCTGGACTTGCGGCTTCTTCAATTTTGAGCTGTGACCCCTTGTGGGGCGAGCGTCCGCCAACTCCAAGTAAGGACACTCGACTGAGTAGTGCCCCCTGAGATGCTTATACACCTCAACTAGGTCGCCCCTTACCCGTCTGTAGTATAAGCTAGGCAAGTTCAGGCGGTCCAATCTCTCAGGGTAGCTGAGGTGCCGAAGTGCAGGCACCAGTCTGGTGGCCCTCCTTTGAACATTTTCAACCAACTGACAGTCCCTAGCATATCTCGGGACCAGACGGGGTGACAGTACTCCAGATGGGGAAGCACTTCACTCTTGAAGATCGTTACGAGGGACGGATGTCTCCTCTTCTGCTGCCTGCACCCTATGTTCCCAGCCACATTCTCTCATAAAATTATCAAAAGTCGGGAAATCAGACAAATTGTTCTTTTCTATGTTGGCTCTCCAGTTTTGCACCTTCAGTTTGAATCCGTTTATTTTTCTCACTGCTGTGAAAATATCCCGACCTTTGCCTTGGAGACTGATGTTGAGTTTGTTCAAATGATCAAAAACTGAGGCAATGTATGACAACTTTGCCAACCAAAAGTTATCCTGACATTTAACTGCCATGGGGTTTGCTTCCTCTGTGAAAAAACAACAAAAACACACAACCGTTCTCTCCGTACAAGCACTCAGTTCAGAACCTTCCCACTGGATAACCACCGCGCCTCGGCATGAAAGAGCAGTGTGGTGAAGTTGGCTTCCATATCTTTCCACAACTCACCAAGAAGATGCTCAAAATCATTCTTCTCACTGGCTGTTCTAGTCTTTTAGTAGCTTAGCAATAAAGGCCTCTCGGTGAATTACACAGTAAATTGTAACACAGTTAGGTGATACTGCTTGATTCCCCCAATGATTGCTCCAACCATTGCCCTCGCACCATCTGTTGTGATGGATTTTCACTTCGACCATTCAATGCCCTCTTCAGTAATAAAATACTGTAATTCAGTTTCGGGAAAATGTTCTCTGCTGTTTCAACCCTCAATTGTAGGCGGCACCATTAGTGCTGCGATGGCACACAATCAACTGCGCTTCCCTCCCACATCTGTTGTTTCGCCCAGCTTCATGGTACTGTATATCAACCCATGCCGTGAGAAATAGAGTGAAACGCTACCTTACCTACTCTCCCTACGACAGTCAATTGGGCACTGACTTTGAAATTTAAAACTGAATCCTCCTCCCGGCACTCTTTTTTTCATTGGTCGGCGTTTCAAATATTATGGGTGATGTCATGATTCCGTAGGCAACACACACCTTCACACGTGTCCCCCATCCCTTCAAATCTCATCCACCCCAAACAAAATCTCGTCCAAGGGAGGACCATCCACCCAGTTTGAATAGCACTGATCTACACTATATTTACATTCACAATCATCAGCACCTTTACAAAGCATCACAAAAATATTGCCTTACCATCGAAGAAGAATTTTAATCTATTTGCAAAGATGTTCTCGAGTGGTATGTTGAGCATCTTGGCTACTGGGGCGATGAGGGACCTGAACCCGCCAGACACGAGATACACGTCAACATCACGAGCTTGTAGGGCGGCTACCAGGCGGCTGGGGGTAGGAGCATACGTCACACTTAACTACTTTGAGTACACTGGAACACCTCTACTGCTGAGAAGTAGAGGTGTGGGGAGAAGTGGAGGTGTGGGGAGAAGTAGAGGTGTGGGGAGAAGTGGAGGTGTGGGGAGAAGTAGAGGTGTGGGGAGAAGTGGAGGTGTGGGGAGAAGTAGGGGTTAGGGTGAACATATCGTCTATACTGTACTTGTATTTTACAATATTTTCGACACAAAACTGTAAAATTAACAATAAACATTTGCAATGTTTTTTTTTTTAGTATAAAAGCACTGTGCTCACATTGCCGTAATATCACAACATACTCAATATCCTTGGTGAGCTTTGGAAGGTTTGATCTGGTGAACTTCTGTATAGTTGAAAGCTTTGGCTGCAACAAGTCAAGTCTTGCACGCAGAGCGGTTCTAAACTCCATTCCTCCCTGCATTGCTTGTACTGTCCTGTTGGCGAAAATGTATTATTTGAACATGAATTCATGAAAATTCACACATGTGTGAATAGTAAACTATAAAACAATTACCAAGTTTGTAATGAGGGATTCAAGCTTTAAGATGCACTAAAATCACATTCCTATAATAGTATATTCTTAGTCTCTTCGCTACTTGTAAATTTAAGAAGCTTATGGTGCAGTAAATAAGTTCACTGCTGATCAATGTAGGCGGGTACAGTACTGGACACGTACATAACAGCCACTTGAATGTACCCGAATATCTCCCCAAATTCCCACTGTTGTCAAAACACTATAAAGTTGTCGACACATTGAAGTTTATTTCACTTGTAAACAGATGAGTTTGTTTAAGTCTAGAGGTAAATGGGACAACTGATAATAATTTAAAGGCATTACTTTAAGAGTTCAGCAGTTGTGCTTTGAGTAACTTAAAATACAGTACAATTAAATGACAGGTGTTAATTAATGGTTATTGCCATTAAGTAATAACTCATATTAAACAAATACATGGCAAATTTTATGGATTCGTGTGTGTGTGTGTGTGTGTGTGTGTGTGTGTGTGTGTGTGTGTGTCTGTGTGTGTGTGTGTGTAACACTTACAGCTTTTTAACCTCGTCAGCTTTGCCACAGAAACTGGCCAGCTGGTCGAGACCTTCATCAATAATAACGGTAGAGTCCACATCAAAGCAGACAGCATCAGTTGACCTCCATATTTCACGACACTCCCCCGGGGATGGTAATTTGCTCACTGTAACAGAAGCAAATTATTAATATAAGTAAACACCTCCACGCTGTGGTCATGATTTAAACCGTACGCCTTTGTTTACGACTCAGAAAGACTGAAGATTCGCAGGTTAATTATTTCCATTTAACTAGGATATTAAGAGAATTCATTAATCTAACTTAGCTATCACAGAGGTTTGAAGAATTATTTGATTACGAAATTCATCTGCTGTAATAAGATGTGTTCCCTGGCTACGAGGGGGAAGCTATTAATGGTGGCATCTTGAGTACCCACATGGCGGTCCTCGACAATGTGTCTTGACTTCCGCCTACAAGATCCTAAAGTAATTCTTGCCTCTGAGAGTGACGCGTCTTACTGGACACAGCGGCGCCTGGGGCAGGAGGAGGAGGAAAAGAAAGCTCAGCTAAGTAAAGCTATTAGCGCCGAGCCATGGGTGAAATATAGGGCTTCTTGACTACAGTACTTCAAATGCTTTCCTGCTCCCTGACGACGAGGGTCCGGACGCGGATATACGACGAACATTTTCCATTTTTAATCAACTCTTGAGCAGTGGAAAATATGGAGGGGTAAACAAGGCTTAACAAAGAAACACACGAAGGAGCGTATTATCCAAGCTTAGTGTCTGTTGATTATATATATTTATAAAACGTGTTTTTCCTTGATAAAAAACAACGGAGAATGATTTATTTCATCTTAGATAATTAGCATAAATGCTGAGTGGTGTAGACAAACCCTATACAGTAGAAACAAAATCCGTCGTGAATTTTATTTCAAACGCAAAATAAAATAAAAAAAAAAGTCATGGAGTGCAAACATTCATTAGCCTATAATCTCCTTGGTTGAGTTAAGCTCTGTGGCAACACTAAACTTCAGACCCTCACAACGACCTTATGTCTTATGTTCCTCGCAAAATATTATAAAAGTTTAACAGTATTTTAGAGCAGCGGTGAGGCAGGTGAGGTGAATCATGGTGAAGTATATGATTGACAGTAATCGTTTTTTTGTTTATTCGGTGAAATGAGATAGTTTGGGAAGCTGCTAAGACAATTCAACACGTCAATACTTTTTTCTTTTGAATTTATTGTTTTGGAAAAATAAGATTACACAACATAAGCTTACTTAGGAACCACTGTACACTATTATTCTACTTCATATTGTGCCGAGTGAACGTTAATTTAATTCAAATCGATGACAGCACCGAGTGTGAGCGTATTCCAGACTTGACCAACACTGGAGTAGGTACAGATATGTTATTGAGCCAGTGTTTGCCAAGTGTGCGTAACAAAGACGTGACCGACCGCCAAGAGGTTAACAAGTCGATCAGTGGCAAAGAAAATACAGTAAAACTATATAGATATCGGCATAGACAGCAACGTAAGTAAATTTGCTGATGACACTAAAATAGGACGTGTTATTAAATTTGACGAGGACTCCGCAAAACTACAGGAAGATCTAAACAAATTTTTCGAATGATCTGAAAAATGGCAGATGAAATTCAACGTGGACAAATGTAAAGTACAAGTACTCAGTATAGGAGATGTAAACAGGGAAACCAGATACCAGATGAACAACGATGCCATAGAGAAATCCGACTGCGAGAGAGATTTAGGAGTAATGATAAGTAGGAACCTTAAGCCAAGTAAACAATGTGTTTTTGCTCGTAACAAGGCTAATAAAGTACTTGGTTTCATACAAAGGAGTGTTAGTTACAAGACTAGCGGGTCATCCTAAAACTGTATCTTGCGCTTGTGAGACCACACCTGGATTACGCAGTTCAGTTCTGGTCACCGTATTACAGAATGGATATAAATTCTTGGAAAGAATTCAGAGGAGAATGACAAGACTAATCCCGGGCATTAGGAACCTTGAGTATAGAGACAGGTTAAAGCATCTTAATTTGCACTCCCTCGAGAGACGTAGAGCGAGGGGCGACCTGATAGAGGTGTAGAAGTGGAAGTCAGGGCTAAACAAAGGGGACATTACAAAGGTACACAAACTATCCAACCAGGAGCGAACTCGTAACAATGGTTTTAAATTAGACAAATTTAGATTTAGGCGTGAAGTAGGTAAACACTGGTTTGGAAACAGAGTAGTGGATGAATGGAACACGTTACCAAATATCATCATTAACTCGAATACGCTGAATAGCTTCAAACATAGGTTGGATGCTTATATGAGTAATAGGGGTTGGGTGTAAACGGGACTGCCCAGTATGGGTCAATAGGCCCGCAGTAGTTTCCTCCATTCTTATGTTCTTATTTTCGGAGCTGTCGTCAGCCTCCCTCTCTAGACAATGGTTCTGGACCTACGAGTAACTTGGGTATTTTATTTGAATAAAAGTATCATATATATTGTAGTAATTTTCAAATAATTCCTAAATTTTCCAATCAGTTCAATTTGATAAGGTGATAAATCAAGGTTTCTAATGGTATGCTATGAAATTCAGTAAACCACAAGGCTTCAAATTAATATTGTCGTGATCATCCTTATTAATCGATCATGTTTAATATTTTAATACCAATAATGGAAAACTTAACATATTTGGAAATATTTGATGTGCGTTCCATTTACTGTACAGAAAGAGAGAGAGAGAGAGAGAGAGAGAGAGAAAACTAACAGACATCTAGCCAACGTAGGTCTATTAACAAAACTTATATCACACATAATAAAAAGCCAACATCCCTTTACCCCCCCCCCCCCACACACACAGACATATAAAAGACTGGCTATTTTTTTTACCATGAGATAAATATTACTTGTCCTAGTGTGTGTGTGTGGGGGGAGGGGGGGGTCAAACAACTGGTACTTAGGTCGAGTAAAAGTTGTTTTCTCGTATATGAGAAACTGACCAACAACAACGATTCACTGGCTTGTTATTTTCTGCTTAATTCATCCTTCAACATCTTCCATTATCTTGCCGTTATGTATTTAATTTGTTAATAATGATAACGGGTTTGGTGATAATATACGTAGATGCTGTATAATTGGTGAAAGTTGAAGAAGGCAAAGAACATCTTGCGAAATATTGTATTGTTAGTAGGAATGACTGTACAGGGTAAAACAGGTTCTACTTCAGACGGCGAAACTAATTTATTTAATTTTGATGCCGAAACACAGTGTTTCAAGGGACAACATTGAAAAATCCCCCCATACAATTTCAAACTGGTTCATCATATAGTCAGATAGAATACTGTACAAATACACATACAGTGCAGGTATACAAACTATGCTACGTATACTGCAAGCTAGTCTAGTCCATCAATGCGCTATGTGTGCAACTCGTGGCGCTTTAAATGGTCAAGGACAACAAGAACAAGTTGGCGTATATTGCGGCTGTATCAGTACTGTAGACGTGAGTTAGTGTGTCAGGAGGAACACGCCTAACTAAACTGGTTTATAGTTGCCATGGTCAGCAAGTATATCCATTAGCATTACGATAACATTTATTTACTCTAATCGTTAACAAGTAAAATTAGAAATAAATATTTGGTGCAATATTGTTGTAACTGCCATTTGTGTATAACTGTTTAACGAATGAACCAAAAGATGTCTGCTTCCCGGCAAGTTACCTGTTGGCCATGGTGTGTATGACGACAGGGGGCAGGTATATTTAGCGGCCGCCCAGGTCTGTTTACATCACTTTCCTCCTGGCATCTTCCCCTGGGATGTTGCCAGACAACAATCAACTGTTTTTTATTATTTTGTTTAAGTCGGTAAAACTCTGTAAGTAATGTGGTGTTGCTTTGCCCCCCGCCCTCAGTCTGCCCTTTATGTACTGCAAATGTCGACGCTTTCGATTGAGCCCCACCAGTCTTAATAGACCCCATCCATCCTAACCTCTGTTGGGAGTAAGGCCCAATCATTCAGTCGCATATACTAGAAAACTGGATATTTTTGTTTTAAATCTCTGGACAAATACACAGCCAGTGCTTCTTCAGTAACAATTTGTGAAGGAATTCTCCCAATTTAAACCAATCTTGCCGTTATTCTCTCGAGTTTTAAATATATTTTTTCAAGGCTCACCGTATAGTATTAGGACATCTGTTCCATATTTTATATAATAAAATATTAATTATGTATGATGTATTTAAATACTTTCACGACTAAAAATGGAATAAATCTGATTTGTTTTCCACACCAGCAGTAATATTCTTTGTGTATTTTCTTACGGCAAAACAATAAATTTTATAAATATCCCGGAGAAGAAAACGTGGATTTAAATTTTCAAAGGTTCCTAAATCTAAAAAAATCCCCATAAATGAATACAGAGATCACACTTAAACTTAAAGCACTCAAAATAACACCCAAAATGGTAGCAACATAACACTGAGACTCTACCTTAACTACAGTACATAAACATGAAGTTAACGCAGATAATAATTATAAATATGAACTTGGAGGTGAAAACGCCAGACAGACATTATAATTCAAAATGGCGTCTTAATTTCACTGAGCATCTACCCTAACTAACTACATTTTCTCTTAGGTATATTTAAGGGAAATCATTCAGCATGCAGGGGTTGAAGAATCTCCCAGAGGACCATAATAAGCGCTTAATATTCCTACCGAAAGCTGGAGGTAAAATGTCAGGGGAATTTCGCTGAGGTTCTGTACCGTGAACCTTTTTGGTGAGGTTTGTAGAGGTCGTCATGTACACGGAATATTAATGTACACACAGTTATGATGTATACATGAAGTGCACAGTCATGATATCAACTCACCTCATAATGCACACACAGTCATGACACATACACAAACACTCATAATGTACACACAGTTATGATAGAGGTGTATATATGGAAGTCAGGGCTAAACAAAGGGGACATTACAAAGGTACTCAAACTATCCAACCAGGAGCGAACTCGTAACAATGGTTTTAAATTAGACAAATTTAGATTTCGGCGTGAAATAGGTAAACACTGGTTTGGAAACAGTAGTGGATGAATGGAACAAGTTACCAAATATCATCATTAACTCGAATACGCTGAATAGCTTCAAACATA